GCACAAGGGTGAAGAAGCAGAAGAAGGTTACTTCGAGCATTTAATATAAATACGAGTAAATAATTTTAAAGATGTCATTTGTTCTATAGATTACAGTAATTAAAAAATAAACGTAATATTTTGATTAATGTTTTTTTTGTCAGGTAATTGCGTTAAGAAAACAAGGCTTTCGTTCACAAATGACACTACTCTAAATGTCATTTTTTTATATTTTAAAAAGGTACTTTATTTATTAATTTTCCTTATTATTTATTTTTATAAGTCACAGCATCTTTATTTATTAAAAAAAATCTTGACACAAAAAAACAAATATTTGTGCATACACGTATTCGGAATATGTAACCAAGTTATTAAAAAAAAAAAACAAAAAAACAGTTGGCTATCGTTATTTTGACACATGTCATTTTTAGGCTAGTTTGACAGCGGCATTTAATGCCGTTTGATGTGCGACTGACGAAAGTATACAGGGTATTTACGGTCTTGAGGTTGAAATTTAAATGAGATGATATTCACAGTAAAAGAAAACTAATACGCTGTATAAAACAAAAATTCACGTTGTTAAAGGAAATTATTCATTTTACACTATTTGTTTGAGAACTGCTGCTTCGGCTGCAACAATGGCCATTAGTAACATTACCTTGTGTTTCACCGTAAATCATAATCACGACAACCAATTTATTATTTTAGTATTTGTCATACATATTCAAAAATTTGGAAAAAAAATTAAGAAAAACGAATCAAACCTATTGGAAACCATGGAAACCATTCGCTGAAAGAGATTAAACAGAAGATCTGCGAATTTTGATAAAAACTAAAGCAAAAGCAAATGATGACAGTGTCAAAACTATGAAGTGACTTTTCTCTTTCATGTACCAATATTTTGGAGTTAAATAACATTCTTGATAATAACAATTGTGTGAGTTTTTTCCTCGGTTACAGTATTTCTGTACTCTTCTATTACTAGGTCAAATTTCAACTCCAAGACTGTAAACACCCTGTATACTTTATGGGGCATATTATTTGAAATTACCTAGTTATAAGGGTGCGACAGGCAACCTGGGATACCAGATATAACTCTATTCGTTTCGCCCTAGGGCATAATAAGCGGACGTTATGATAACGCCCGCTATTATTAAGGATAATAAGTAAAAACTACAACAATCTGAAAAACTAATTAATGCTAAATTAATATGTACATTTTCACTTTTTTTATTTTACAAGAAAAAGCCCCGCTTCTGTAGTCTTTTCGAACGCATTGCTGCATATTTCTTGTGCAACTTCAGGGCATCCATTTCATTTTCTTCCACAACATTGACATCTTACTATGGACTGCGTTTGAGCTAAAAATTTTATTGTCAACATAGGTAGGCAACACATTAAACTCAATGGTGGCAATTAATGGGTCTAATGAGAGAAAAATGGGTTTTTTTGGTTTGCTAATCTCTATGTGTAGTGTTGGGAATTTATTTAATGATGTTAAAAACAACAAATATTCAAACTAAATACATTTTTACCTACAAATTCAAAGTCAGGACCATATCGATTTTTTTTTCGCGATACGATCAAGAGGAGGATTCAATAATAATCCTACCACCGCCTAATTTGAAGGAGCTTACAAAAAGCTTTTGTTGCACGCAGTTTATTATAATATCATTATCAAACGGTATTCTTGTTTATGTAATGAATTAATGATAATACTACATTACAATCAAAGTAATTCATGATTGTACTTGATGTAAACAAATTGAACTATTGTAGATACTCTATTATAACTAATTTTCCCATTGTATTTCATACAAGTTCCAACGCTTCTGCCACTATTGCGAATTGGTGATTGCATAACCATGTTGACAACAACTTTAATACGCGTAAGTAACTATTGGCCAAGTGCAGTCCATTAGTAGGATGTCAATGTTCCACAATAGTAAATCTTTGTGGACCGCCACTTTTCGTGCCTTCAATTTTTATCAGTACAATTGCTCCTCTATGATCTACGTTATCTACCGTTAACTTTACAGGCTCGTCTCTTCTTCCTCCAAAAACGCCTATCATTAGAACAACCTATATCAAAAGTAATTACATGTATACAGTATGTTATTGAAATGCGTTAAGAAACTTTAAACGGTGATAGAACTCATCAAAACAAATTACTTCTCTATTTGCCATTTTTTCGAAAATTCAAATTTATACTTACATTTATTTTCACCGTATTCCGTGTCATCGAGTCGTTTATGGATGGCACGGTACGCAAAAAAAGTAAATATGGCAAAAACTCAGGCAGATAGGTCTTGCAGAAACTTACTGACACAATTTAGTCACGTCCTTCACCAGCATGCGGCCGTGTTTACAATTTATTGGCAAGTGAATTTCCCGTAATTATCGTAAAAAATGGTGCAGTACACTAATCCGGAGTTAACAGATATACTGATCTATGGGGAAGCTTTATCGAATGTTGCTGGAGAGATTTCGCGGTCGCCAAGTTCAAATTTAGAAAATCGGTGGATAGGGCGTAATGGACCAGTTTTATGGCCAGCTCGTTCACCGGACTTAAATCCTTGTGACTTTTTTCTATGGGACCATTTAAAACAGATTGTTGGTGAGAACTAAAGCTTCTATGGCTCGAAGGGCACAAGCATACATCGATAACGTCATTTCGAACATTTAATTTGAAGGTTAGTGCTCTTGATCAAGTGTGGTGCGTAACTTGGAATATCACTCTCACTTACTACGAATAAAAAATTGGTTTTTGCTTGGCTATCTAAGTTTTTATCTTCTTTCGCTTTTAATGTACTCAGGGAGGACATTGGCGGGTACTAGAATTTACGTTCAAACTAATTAAAATTCTATCTGGGTTTAGAAACATTTTTCGAAAAATTGGTAAATAGCAAAGTAAGTTGTTTTGATGAGTTCTATCACCGTTTAAGTTTTCTTATCGCATTTCAATAACATACTGTATAAAGAAACACCGTACTCGGTATTAAACAATACATACGTACCAAGTTATGCAAATCTCCCATTAGAACTGTTTCATTGACAGTTTTGACGGAATTTTTGTTGCTGCAGTCGTCAAATTTGTGGAGTTCCACAAATTCACATCAAAGTGTATGTATGCAATTAGTTGGTTAGCAATACTCGCAATGTCAATGCATTTCTTATGTTCATAGGCGAAAAAATGTTTCGGTATGTGTTTGTTTTTAGATTTAACAAAAAAATGTACTTTTTTTGGCAAATAATTTATTGAAGAAAGTTCCCCCACACTCTTCACTCCTTATTCGAAGGTGGTACTGCTATAGAGAAGTATCTGCTACTAAATAACATAAAGTACCTACTTTGAACTGTAGTTTTTGTTCTCGGAAGTAAAGCATTTGCTTTAAAAAGGTAGCATCTACTTTACCCATAAAGTATTTACTACACTAGTGTAGTATTAGTATCTCCTTTATTTTTATTCATACTACCCATTGACTATGTAATGCTAGCCATTGTACGACAGATTGCATAGTATGTCAATACTCGTTGAACGACCCGTTGAAACGATTTCAAAAACACGTGTTTTATAATAATAGTAATAATAATAATTATAGCAAAGAGCCGGCGGCGGCAGCATCAAGTTGGTTGGTGTTTATTAAAACATAATAAAAGAATAGTACATAGATCAAAATCAGAAATTTTAGAGCAAATATACCACGAACAAGTTTATGTTTGGGACATCAAATTTGATGACTATTCCAACAAACATAAAAGAAATGCAGCATATGATGTTTTAACACAAAACTTAAAAAAAAAAATTCAACCAACAACCAACATCTGGGTTTTTGCCAAATTTACTTTTTGTGGGGATTCAGCTACTTTAGTTAAAGATTAATTTCTAATAGTGCCTTTAATGTGGCAAATACGACAAAAAGGTATTAAGAAAATCAACATTTACGGCCCTATACCAAATTTGAAAACCATCGGCCAACTAAGATTTTTCATTACCAAAAAGTTTTTTGGCTATTTTTAGATGTTCTGTTTTATCTTCTTTTTTAATTCATTCTTGCCATTTATGTTGTTTAAAACAGCTAGAAGTGGTTGGTTCTCTTTAATTTGAACCTTTTCCATGTGCAGCAAACTTTTTTTTTTTAATTGCAAAAGTTTAAATTTGTATACGTTAGTGACTCCTACTATTTCTGCTTCCAATTGTGAGTTCGTATAAAAGCTATGTTGTAAATTGATTTAATTTTCTTAACCATTTTTATTGTTCTTCACTCTGAAAGCCATAATATTTAAACTTGAAAAAGCAGTGCTTTTTGAAATCCACTAAGGGTGGTTTGCACCAACACTAGTTAAATTTAATCTCTGACTAAGAACAATTGTAACTATGATAATAACAATGGTTACTATTTATTTAATCTGAGATTAAATTTAACTGGTGTTGGTGCAACCCACCCTAAGATATTATGGTTATTTTAAAATGACCCTATGCCCTATAAAATTATTTCAATAGTTTTCAATAAACATGTTTATGCGTGCGTTTGCAATAGTTTTTCTATTGCAAAACGCATCTGATATCTTTTATGTATTATTGTTTCTTTCAAAGATGGTTTATGAGCCCATTCCCAGAATTATTGCATATTTTGTCTATTGTGCTTAGCTTCTGCTGCTTTCCTGGAAAAGTGAATACGTGTAGACTTTGTGAATTTTTATTTTAGGCCGCAAACCCCTACCTGACTGGAATGCCACAGGTTGGCAGTACATATAGTCCATATTTTGCTCCGGGTCCTATAATGCCTACGATTATGGGGCCGGATCCTACCGGAGTCGGGTCGCCTTTGGGTGTAGTTCCACAAACAGTTGTAGCACAACAAAAAATGCCTCGTTCCGATAGACTTGAGGTATTGTATTTTTTATGTTTTTCCTTCTTACTTGCAGAATATTATATCATTTTTCAATTATAAACTTGTTCCTACAGAGATATATTTAGAATTGTATATCTGTAGGACGTTTATATGGTTATATTTTATTGCGTTCTTATTTTAAATGATGACTAATTTAAGCGTGAATGATGAAGTTTTTAAATCAATTTTTTTAAGTTTTAGCTTCTGTTTCTTATGTTGCATGTGTTTTAGAACTCAATTTTTGTATGTATGTTTGTTATTTTTTATCGATTTGTTTTATTATTTTTTTACGAGCAGAAATTTGGGTCTTTTTTGATCAGTCAGAATTATTACATTTTACACAACTAATTCGTCAAACACTAATGCTGTCTTTGAAATATAAATAGTTGTAGAGCAATTCTTCCCTATGTTATATTTACCTTCATATACTTTTTTAGAAACACTAGTACTTGCTGTACATACAAGTTGATTATTCATGCTGTTAGATTTTTGTATTGTTATTATACTTGTGAGCACTTGTAACTTTCTATCGATTCTGTTTTGCACCGTGCTCTATTATTAAATTTTCCTTTGTAGTTGTAGAACTTTTTCGTGTTTTCCACCAACAACTCTGATATTTGATTTTTCGATAGAAAGTTATTTTTTAGATGATCATTTAGTTTTTACCTCTTAACTAAAACTTTTTACTGCAAAAAAAACGTTGACACCGATTAACTACATACATCAACCTCCCAACGAAAACTACCGTAACTCAAAAATTACAGTTTTGAGAAAAATTGCATTGAATCTTTGGTTATTAATAAAAAATCAAGGAACTGTTTAATATTATCGAAAATTGCTAAGGGTCTATATTTTGGTAATAATATTGTTTATTCAAAAAACATTTTACTCATTGTTTTTGTATTTTGGGCCCTACATAAGCCATCGTACTCAAAAACCAATTTTTATGAGTTACTATAATTTTCGTTGGGAGAGTCGACATGATGATTAATTTCTACACATGGTGGGTACAAACGATGGTGATATTGTCGTACCATTTTAATATTTACAAAATTGCGTTTTAGTTTGGCAGTGTTTTGACGACTGAGATTCCATTTTGCATTTAAATTTGTTCACATGGACTAAATGATCAGCTGTTTGTTATGAGCTCTCATATCACAACCTGTAGGTGATTAGGATCTAGAAGCTGCATCCAACCGGCCGTCCGTTATTCGGTGGTTGACGTCGAAGGTTGGCAATTACCATCGATGTCACCAACGGGCGGTAAGCGGACAGCCGGGGCAGTGATAAGATGCAGCGGTGGCTTGTGCTGATAACAGCCGGGTGTCTGCTGTAGGTGTGCCGCGAATACCAGCGCGGGGCGTGCAAGCGAGCAGAGTCAGAATGTCGCTTTGCGCATCCCGCTGACTCTGTAACTGCCAACGAGGACGGCACTGTCACTGTCTGCATGGATGCAGTCAAGGGCCGCTGCAACCGCGACCCCTGCCGCTATTTCCACCCCCCTCTGCACCTCCAAGCCCAAATCAAGGCCGCACAGTCGCGGGCTAGCGCGGTATGCTACGCATTTTTAGGGCGCACGCTCGCTATATTCTATTTTCTATCTTTTTATTTTGTGTTCATCGGAGCTAGACCAATGGTGTAGCTCTTTGGTTGCACACAGAGCTGACCAGATGGTGTCTGACCGATTTTTCTTGCAAGCTAATAGCTCGTAGTCGTGTGTTACCGTTACTAACAAAAAGCGAAATCTTCCATACACTTGTTCAGTTTTAGGAAGATTGGAATTTTTGTGGAGTTTTTTTTGTTTTTTTTTTGTTGTAGAACTGTTTTCTTGTGCAAAGTATGTAAGGCTGTACACTATCCGTTTTGTCAATTTTTCATTTTGTAGTAAGTAAAGTAAAAAAAGAGCTAAAACATTTTGCGAAACGGATTAAATTTGGCCTTTGTAGCATTGAAATCTTCTTTTCATAAATTCAAAAAACGTTGTTGAAACAGAAATTGCAATTCCTGATGCAATGACTTAACTTGTTTTTTTTTTTTTATTGAAATGTCTTTTTTGTACGGTTTAGTGTAGTGATGTTTATTGATGAATTTTACAAAAAAAATTACTACGATAAATACTTTGTCTTGTGCAGATTAAGCTTTCTGCTTTCAGACTATCTACGCATGGTTACATTGCTCTTTGCTCCTCGCCAACAAGTCCTTGTATTCCTGCAGTCCTTTGCGCGTAATAAAGAACAAATGCACATTTTGCATAGTTATATTTTTTTGTTTCAATGATCACAACACTAATGGAAACAATGAAGTTTTTGTCGTTTATTGAACAAAAACAATCACATTTATACAGACTGTCTCACAGAGTGTGTTGTAAATGTACTCGTATTTAAACCTGTAGCTGATCCGCAAATGAAGTGTCCAATATTAATTCAATGAACGTGGAGTTTTTTTTTTGTTGACACTATGAATCGTAAGGTCGACAATATTTGTACTTTTTCATGGTTCATGTTTGTCCGTTTTTTAGTCTGTTACCTACTATTAAATGTTTTTATCCACAATCACTCTATAAAGAGACCTTATTCCACACTTTAAATGCGTATAAAGTACCACTTTATTCCACTGTTATAAAAATAAAGCAATAACTATCACAAATCATTTAATATTATTATTGACATTCACATTGACATTTATAGATAATTTATGTTCGTTGTCATTCAAACGGTATCTTCGTTTCTTCATTTCTGGAACATGTAACATTTGGCACCGAAGAACTAGAAGACTCCTCTTGAATCTTCTTTGCTATATCGAGTTTATTTGATATGGAGTCTTCAATGTAACTTTCCGCTATTTGTGAAGATCGCCACCCACCGTGTCGCTTAATTGTTCTAATGTCAGCACCCTTGTTCGCCAACAAAGTTGTTGACGTACGTCTCATGCAGTGACCCGTGTAGTTTACCGCGTCAGGAAGCTTCAGAGCAAGTTTCGAAGGTACTTTTGCTAATGTGTTAATCCCCACAGCTTGCATGGAACACTTTTGATTTACATATCGTAAAAAGAATCTGCGGTGTGGCACCTCCTTTGGACGTAACATCATGTACTTTTTACAGAGGCTTACAGCATTAACAGAAAATTCCTCTTCCGTGAAATATTTGTCTTGGTGTCAGGTATTGTGACCAATAAATATGAGCCAGTGTCTTTTAAATTATCAATCTCCAAGTTTGTCAATTCACAACTTCTACATGCACCAGCGACTCCCAGTATTAAAGCAACCTAAAATAATTCAAAATTTGTATGTAATATGGCCAAAAAAAAAACAAAGTTTACCTTAGTCATCAAATATTGGTCATCGGGAGCACTTGTCAGAAATTCTTCAACCTGTTCTCTTTCCAATACTTTTGATTTCTTTACTTTGTATCCTTTAGAAACACTTTTTAAGAAAGCCTTCAATTTGCAGTACTTTGACACGTCTATATTTTTGTGCACCCGTACAGTAGCTTTTAGCTTTGAATATTTGCTCCACATTGATGAAGGCTCGTACTTTTTTTTATATGTAAAAAATATGAAAGGCATGACTTCTTCATTGATCACCCTTACTTGTCGTTTTTCTCTCCAGTTGTTAAATTCAGCATATTCTTTTTCGTAATGTGCTTTAGACTTATCTGGCAATAAATGCAACGTTGCTTCTTCAGCTTCTTCGCAGATTTCTGCAGGAATACACTCAAATTCTTCCATTTTCGCAAGATTTTTTACGTTGTTTTAGTAAAACGAGAAAAAACAATGAACAATAACAACACTACCCTACCCTAACCAGCGCACCGCGTAACAGCTTACTACGTTTAACCGAAAGCACATTTGGCGTGACGTTTAAATGTCAGTTTAATTTTTAATTAAGTTTGGAATAATTTGGGCCTGTGATTGTGGATAAAACCTTATATTGCAGTCGTGTGTTCGTCGCGTTTTATCCACTTAAGAAAAATAACCGCTCGAACTGACGTTCTCGCGGTTAAACATTCTTGCGTGGTTAAAACGCTATCTAACACACTCTTACAATAACTATTATTCACTTATCAGTCGTCGAATTTTATTTCAAGATAAAGACAGTAGTTGAACGCTAATTATTTAAATAAATGGATAGGACGTAGTGGAGTTGTGCCGTGGCCGCCTAGCTCGCAACCCGAATTGACAATTTTTTTTTAATTTAAATTAAAATGAGTTCAATCAAATGCTACTAGGAGTAAACATTTAAAAAACAGAAGTACCTCTAACTCACAAACGAATTTACAAAAAAACTTTTTTATTTACAGTTAGATAAGGTTTTTCCCTCCTTTCCAAAAATGTTTCTAAAGTTGCGGGTGCTTTTTAAAAGTTTAAACTAAGGGTGGTTAGTGACTAGGGGATGAAACATAAAACGTATTTTATTTTGATTTTGAACTCTCCCATAGCAGCCCAAATTGACATGTTTTTTACTTAACTTAAATTGAGTTGACTCAAAGGCTACTAGGACTAAAAATTTCAAGAATTAAACCACCCCTAACTGAAAAACAAATCGACAAACAAATTTTTCTTTGACATTTACATACGCTGATTTTTTCTCTTTCCGAAAACGTTTTAAAAGGTAGGGGGTGCCATTTAACATTTTAAAGTAGGGATGGCTAGCGATTAGGGGATGAAATTTAAAATGTAACTAATGTTGGTTTTAACTGATGTTGATTTTCAACTTCCCCCTCGCGATTCTAATCGTCCTGTTTTTACTTGAAAATACATTTGCTCAATGTCAAAAGTTATTGAAACTGGCTCTTTTTGAAATGAAAGCCCTGTATATTAATTTTGTTCGTCTCAGTGAGACAAATCAAATGCACTACAAAAAATTACAGAAAGTCCACAAACTTTGAACTAATTTTTTTTTCTAATTTATACGAATTTAAAATAGTTTAACTGTAAAAGAATCATTACTCAATAACTATTAGTCCGATTTCATTCAAATAAAGACCATTTTAACGACTTTAAAATGATAAGCAATTTGAAATTGAATATTGTCGAACTTTTCTTCGAACAGTGTTCGAAGTAATTCGAAATAATCTAAGAAAAACCCTACGACTATTTTTTATCATTACCATCGTATAGAGCATCTCTTTATTAGTTAGAATCCAAATTTTGAAAAGAATACACCGAGTAGTTTTTAAGGTACGATTTTTTGAAGTTAAGGTTTCCTAATCAAGCATTACGCCATATACAGGGTGAATATAAAGTATGGAACCAAGCGCTTTTATTTTTAATCATTTGCCTCCAATCATAATTAATATAAATTAAAATAATATAAAAAATGTGGTTGTATTTTCAGAACGAAATTTTGTTTTGTTTTTGAGTTATGCGATTTTTTTTTGTCAAAATTTCAATTTATGTGAAAAAATTTCTTTGAAAAAATTAAATATATAGCATATAATTGTAATCCTTAGAGTATGGCTTTTATGAGAAAAATGTTTTTATAGTGGGTTGCCATTTAAAAAAATATTTTTTTTTTTGTAGAACTCAAAAAACAAAAGGAAATTTTGAAAAATTTTATTCTTGTTAAAACATCACATTTTTATAGTACTTTATCACTCATCAAATAGTTTTTTCAAAAAATAAATAGTTTAAGCAAAAAACGTTTGGTTCCATACTTTTTATTCACCTGGTATGTATGTTAATCTTACTTAAAATTGCATTTTTATAAAAGTATTTGTTTGGAGACTCTTTTTTGCTTAAAAATGGTCAATTGCACCTTCTTTGTTCTAATTAGATTAAACAAAAACTGTTTGTTTACTTAAAACAAAGAGTACCTGCGTACTAATTAAAGCAAATAATAAGTTTCTTTGTTCTAAAAATGACCACTGATCACCACTGAGTAAAGAGGATCTAGAAGTTTGAGGCAGTAGCCTTACATGTAAGAGCAAATCTTTTTCAAATCAAATCACTTTCCATTCAGATTCCGACTTGTTCACTTTGTTCTACCTTTCTGAACTTCTTTTTTGACAGATTTGCTGCTGATTTATGACGAAATGTTTTAAAATGATTTTGCCACTGTTAAGAATAAGATCTCAACAATCTTTGGTCTTATTACTGTGGATTTCGAATTTACGGAAGAAGACGGAGCAATTTGGAAAAGACAAAGGTTTGCCAATACAAGTTCTAATAAACGAATTTGATTTCTGAATAAATTTTGGACTGAATTAACAATACTCTTAAATTTTGTTTATTGTGATTCAGAATATTAGAGAAAAAAGGTATTTTTGTGCGATTAGACTCTAGTCGACTGTTTACTACTACATCTATTTTCAAGACAGTAAGTTGTATTTACTCGTTGCTATCCCAAATTCATCGGTAAGTATTTTGTTTATTGTTGCTAACGATAAACTCGTCGGTAAGCATTTAAGGTCGTCGCTAAAGTTTTTTTGCCGTTTTGTAACACTTTTTAGATATTTTATTAAAAAAAAGTAACAAAAATCAATCGCGCATAAAATGTCATAACTATGACGAACGTTAAAGACTTACCGATCTCAGACAATAATTGGAGTTCTC